AAAGTTTTAAAAGTAAACAGAAGAAGATAGAGATGTTTTCATTTTTTATGGATTGTATAAATACATGTTTATCAAGACAAAGTTTCATGTCCTTATTTTGGGATTGACAAGGCTGGAAAACGACGCTTAAAGAAATTACAATCAACAATACTTAAACTTGGAAAGCTTTCCACCAAGTTGTATCGTTCCAACCGTAGGTTCAATATTGGTCACGTTGAAGTCTCAAATACAAAGCTTGTATTTTGGGATTTAAGAGGTCAGTCTGGTCTTCGCTCAATCTGGGAGAGTTGTTATGAAGAGGCACATGCTGTGACATTTTTTGTTGATGTTGCTCGACCATCACGCTTTGAGGATTCCAAATCTGCGCTTGAAAAGTGTTGGTTTCCGAGATGGAGTTGAGTGGCAACGGGTGTTCGATTGTTGGAATTACCGTCCGAGGTGCGGTCCTTTGGTTTGATTCGAGTTGAATTTGTTGTTTCGAATCGCATTCGTAGCTGGTGAAATTTATCGAAAGGTTTTGCGCAATAAGGTTCAATCCTTCAATCCTTTACTCGTTCTAATGTCAACTATTTGCTTGGTGATCCGATTTTGTGACTTGTTATTTATTGCTTTGAATGTGCCATCTCGTATGGATACTTGAATTGATTGCGAGTGAATTGGAGTCTCTAGTTATTCGAATCATATGCTTAACTCGAATTGGTTATAGCTGACGGTATAGAAATTGGATTGTTGAACTATGTCAATTAGATTAAATGGGCTCGGATGTGCATTTCATGTGACCCTGCCATAATTTTGGATAATAATAATGAAATAAGCATGTTAAAATCTGGGGGTGCATTTCATGTGACCCGGTTCTAATTTCCAACAAAGTTAAATAGAGCGTGTCGTGAACCACGGGTGCATTTCATGTGGTGTGGCTTGCGATATGTTTTAAATGACCTTGAATTAATTTTTTAAATAAGTAAAAGCGGTTTTCAAAATTTAAAAATGCACATAGGTTTAAAAGTATTTTAAAATCAGATAATTAGGCCAATTATAACAGTTGAGCGACCGTGCTAGAACCACGGAACTCGGGAATGCCTAACACCTTCTCCCGGGTTAACAGAATTCCTAACCCGGATTTCTGGTGCGCGGACTGACAAAAAGAGTCAATATTTTTCCTCGATTCGGGATTTGAACCGGTGACTTGGGACACCATAAAATTATCCCAAGTGGCAACTCTAAATTTTAATAAAATAATCCCGTTTCGATTGTCACTTTTAGTTGGAAAACACTCCCTTATACATCCCTTCTCGGGGTGTAGGTAAAAAGGAGGTGTGACAACCAATAGTCACATCTCTGGCATCATCGTGCTAAACTCTGACCTTAAGGACAAGCAAATGAGGATCATCATACTGGCGCTCTCTGATGCGATCATATAAGAAAGACCGAGAAACCACACAAGCCAATACCCGACT